GGCATCTCTACAACACTCACGTGGACCCTTAACCTCAAGTCAATGGGTCTAGTCAGCACGTGAGTGCACTGCCAGCAAGAGAGCGAGATGTATGGGGGCCACATGCAGAGCCACTTGCTAAAAGTCCAAAGGCTCGTGGCTGGTTTTAATTGTCTCCTGGGTTCTGAGTGCAATTCAGTCTCTGTGGTTTACTGTGAAATTGTACGAGGGCAGATTTGAGCAGGGCGTGAGCTATGAGTATGTATGTGACACTTATGTCGCACCGTACGTAGCCAACTGTGCAAATCAGAGCTCTCGTAAAGTCATAAGAGCTCTGCACAAATTCTAAACTTATGCCAGACGTGGTCATGCCTGCATCGTAACGTCTTAGTTAAAACTACGAGAGTCATCCACGTACCACTTCATGCGTCACGAGGCCCTGGTATCTGAGAGTGCATCAGTCAATACACAAGTAACCCGCTAATGCACCGCATGTTTTAAATGTCAAACTTTATTCCATAAGCAATGCCAAACAAGCAGCTTTAAAGCAAAGTTGTTTGGCACAGAATGCCTGGTTTATATCCAACTGATGCGTGTCTTCATGGCGGTGCTCATACAATATATGGCTATTAAAATGATTTGCACTGCATACTTTTTATGTCCCCCCCCCCCCCGCACTTTGAGCTATTAGTGTAATACAATAGACTATAGACCAAATTAACACGTTCTGACAAACAAATTAGCTATTTTTAATGGCCTGATTGTTGCTAATACTATGTTGGAACACTGAAAAGTAAGGTTTTAATGAAATGATGTCATCCCCATAGATATAAAAATAAACTATGTACCCGTTCGCAGTCCATACGCGAGTATGGCAGTGAGCCCACTTTTTAAATCCTTTATATTAAGTTCACTTGCTTGCGCGCTTACGACCGTGCAAATCTTTCGGTCGTTTTTTAACCCACTTCCCGTGATCCAATCGAGCTGACATTTTGCACAGACTCGTTGTGCGTGACAATTTATTTTCGTGAAAAAAGTTTTCCTAAAATTTTCCACTTTTTAGGAAAAAAAATAATTCATATTTAATTTAAAATACCAATGTGATAAAAATGAAACTCTTACTCAAGAAAAACAGAAATGAATAATAAAATAAAACCGATGCCACGCATATAAAGGATTTATAGTGAAAAACTTTGTTTTTACGGGTTAATTTTTTCCCCTTCCCTCAAACCATGAGCTCTGTGTGTTCGGGCTTCTGCCCGTGGAATTTCTGTGCCCCCTTCCCTTGTTACTGCGCGTGCTATGTATGGGACTGTTGTCGAGATCCAGGGTTGGAATCCGGATAAGCACCTGTAAATAACTGGGTTATCATAGGATAGTGAATGGATAGTCTCAGCCTGGGCATTAGTGCACACAATCATTATTTTAAAAAATCCCTATTACATGAATTTGCTTTTTCACTTCATTTGGCAAAGTGTCAGCTCTGAGTAAAACAAAAATGAGAGTGATATTCAACGATCTTTGCAGGGCATTACAATGAGGGTTCGTATGCACACGTTTGTGATTTATGTGGGAATTGCTAATAGAGTTGATTAAGGCTCCTGCTGAGGACAGCAGTAATGACGAAAAAATGTGCCCTAAGTGTGGATTGTCCTGCTGAAGTGACCACAGAAGTAGGTGTGCGATATAATTTGTCAGGGCTGTTCTCTGGAACAGGGTGAAGTTCTGCTAGCTCGACTTCTAAATGGAAATAGATTTAACTTAAGACATGTTGCCAATACCACAATTGGAATACAATTGACGTAAAAGTTGTTTAATTTTCAATTTAACATTTGAAAATACTGTAATCACAACAGAAATGTACATGAAGTGTATCTATTTTTAAATGGAAGCAGACGTAAGGCCTGACTCATGTATAAGTATAAAGTTACGTCTCTGCACTTATATATATATTAAAAAAACATTTCATTTGGGCACCTAGGGCTGTATTTGCATTAAGAGCGTGAGACAAAATCTAAAGGGAGCAAAGATCGCTACCAGTAATAAAATAAATACAAGCTATCATCACCATCGGATGACTGAGAGTTCAAGTGCCAATTCGGGGTTGGCTCAGTCTAGCATTCTGCCAAGGATATCACCAGCCATGATCGTACCCTACTTTTTGAAGGCTTTCCCAACCTGTCACTTTGTCTCACAATTCTATGCGGCAACAATTCACTTATCACCTGTACACGAGCTTCTATCATTGAACCAAAAAAAATGCGTGTCATTTTCTGGGAGTTCCTACAGCGGTTGTCTCAAGGAAAGGCAAATGCTCGAACCAAAGAGAAAAAAAATGGCTTTTACATTTCTGGATCGGGGCCACCTCCAAAGATGACCGCTACCACGACTCTTTTGAATTGGATGTCACGATGACTTGGCGATGAGCATTAAAATAAGTTATAACGCTATACTCTTTGGTTCTTTCGTTAAAGTCACGCCCGAAGACGACCGCTTGTGTTGCGATCAAAACGTCGTGATATATTATTTTTATCGTTTTATTTTTTCTACCTACGTGACTTTACCAAAAGAACCAAAGAGTATGGATTCCTGCAGTTACGAAAGCTTCAAATGAAGTTATAACTCATTTGTAAATCCACTGCTGGATGAAGGCCTCACCATGCCGTTGGTCATGGGGGTTGTTTGACCATACTTCACTATGATCGTCAGTATGGGTTGAAGGGAGATCCCAGGACCGGTTCAGATATCACTTGCCACTGAGCTTAGCGTTGCCAAATAAAGATTGGTGGGTTTGTAGTGTGCTGTGGTTTTAACCATATTATTGCCGATCTACTCATAGGCATTACCATTGAAAAAAAAATAGGTAAAAATGAAGCTTTTCAATGCACACTTTTATTTGCAAAAAAATTAGGAAATACATTTTTTACCCGAATTAATAAAATTGCATGTGCTCAATAAAAGTGGGTGGCTTTCTTTGACACGTTTCATTTTCTTCATGCAAGCCACCCACTTTTATTGAGCACATCAAATTTGATTAATTCCAGGGTGAAAAGAATGCTCTTAAATAAAAGTGCGCGCATTGAAATGTATTTTTTCATAACCCAATTGTTTTGTGCACCTTGTTGTTTTGCTCTGGCGCTAAGGAAAAGGGGTAAGCTACAACGGCCGCTCTGGCGCCATGACGAGCGGCCATATGAGCGCTCCTCTCATTGGTCAAGGGCTGGCCAGCAACGGCGGCTGCGATTGGACCAGACGTTTGCCGTTGTAGGTGGGCGAGACCATTCGCGACATCAAAAAGGCGGTTGGGGTGGATTGTACGATTGTTAACTTGCTTCATCAGGCAGTCGACCGATGAAGCTATTTGTACAATGGGAACCTCATTTGCCAGTAAAAATATGATAATTGTTTTTTTTACCCTTCTATCTGCCAACAAAACTGACACCTTTTTACAAGGAGTCATGTTTGCATAGACCGCAATACCTGCAGTCATAATACAAACAAAAGACATAACTCTGATAATGTGCACTGTCCTGCGCCTTTTGGCGTCATCTGGTCCAACCCATGTGAGACTAGGCTCTAAGGAAAGCTGTCTCGGGTGTGGACCAATCAACTTCAAGGACAGTTCACATTATCAGAGTTATGTCTTTTGTTTGTATTATGACTGCAGATATTGCGGTCTATGCAAACATGACTCCTTGTAAAAAGGTGTCAGTTTTGTTGGCAGATAGAAGGGTAAAAAACCAATTATCATAATCTATTTGTAATTACTTTGCTCTCCAACAGACCAGTGCGCTGTACTAGTAACGAATTGTCATGTTCTGTTTACGTGACAAACCTTACTAATTGGCTGTGTCGGGTGGTGGCCGGTTTAACGACACATTTATATATTTACACGATCTAACAAAAACACCTGTATTGTGGATGATATTGGTCGCGAAAGCCTACGTGTTAAACTAGTAAAATGTTAAATTTCGATTTAAAGCTTTCGTGACTGCAGGGATTCATCTTCTTGGTTCTTTCGGTAAAGTCACGTAGAAGGGAAATAATAAAGTAATAAAAATAAAACAATAAAAAACAATTCTCACGACCTTTCGGCCACAACGCAAGCAGCTGTCCTCAGGTGAAGAACAGGTCTGTCGGACGGCTGCTTGCGTTGTGGCCGAAAAGTCGTGAGAATTGTATTTTATTATGTTTTATTTTTATTATTTTATTATTTCCCTTCTACGTGACTTTAGTAAAATGTTGTTAAAACACGAATAGGACCCCCATGGGTGGGACCTGGGCAGTTTTGTTGTTAAATGAAATCTTGATTTGTCACGCGAGGCATCTGTGTTGAAAATTTCGGCTCGTAAGGCATCGTAGATCCATATATAATAATCGTCAAATATCCCAAAGAATATAAACAGACAACACGGCAAGTTCAATAAAATTGTGTAAAAAAAAGCGAGAAACTATCAAATACAAAATTATATAACATGCACCTTCATACGACATATTCCTGATATCACAAAATGAGCTGGTCTGCAGGGCAGCTTCGCCAGGTTTAATCTTAAATACAGTTCAACGTGTAATATAAACCAATTATAACTTTCTGTAAATGATGGGAAATTAATCATACATGTGGAATATAGTAAAAATATTGCATCGACTGCCAGGGAAATGGACCTCTCACTGCCACTTCGTCATGCGCCTCCGATGAGCGCGGTTGGCTATGGACGTTGAACTTCTTTTGTAACGTACGTGGCCAACCGCGCTAATCGGAGGCGCGGGAGAAGGACTTCGACATACATAAATACGTGCACCACATGTCAAAACAAGCTGAGGAAGGGCTTCATTGTAAGAAGAACCATTGTCATTCAGAATGCATATGCACCATATGTATTGATTTCAGGGTAGAATAGATGGATTATTGTGAAGAATAATGGAAGAATGATCCATATGTAACCCGTGGGTGCCATTGCAGACTTGCTGACAGCATGCAGTGGCGTCAGTGTTGTAAGGAAAGCTGGATTAACGAAACATTGGGTTTAAAGCATTTATTTAATGTTTTGCTCTCGTGATTGACAGAAACCACCAATTTTTGTTCATTACCAGCTGGTTTAAGATTACATTTTATTCAATACAATGCTGTGATTAGAGAACTTGAGCTAAAATCATGCTGCGAGTTTAAATCCCGGTTGGGGTTCAACTCAATATATCATCTCTCCGAGGCCAATACAATAGGGACCGTCTTGTAGGTTAACAGTGGATGTACTATAGGCAGGCTGGCCCCTGTCATGGAAATGTGGAGTTTACACTGTTGGCTCAAGGCCACCAGTAAAGTTGAGAGCTGCCTCACTGCTCACCTGAGCAGAGAGACAATCTTACTTGGCGCTATTTAAAACCTTGCTTTATTTTCAACACGTAGCAGTCAATAGAACTGACTTTTCTCCGCATGAGTAGTCGGAGCACAAGCTGATTTTCTGACAGCCACAGTGATACAAAAATGACCTTTCAGACGTTTCCCAATACACTTTCTGCATAATTCAGTTCAACACTGTACACCATGTGACAGAGAGTATGAGCATATCCTGACATTTAAAGGTGTCCAACTTCCGACATACAGAAATGACGAATAAAAAATAAGCTTGCATAAAACATGATTTGGGAAAACAAAATATTCATCAACACCTGTAAAATAGATTCAAGTCAGTGGTGGAATCTATATGACAGAAATGGACATTGCATGTTTTCGCAAAGCGGCTGATCTTGGAAAACGGCTTTTTCCATAACCAGCATGTCATCCACACATATGAGCTTTTAATTTGCTTTCTCAATGTGCCAAAAAAAAGATGTATAAAGACATCAGCAACAAAGTGCAAGATGACTGTGGTGTAAGCCTAAAAATCAACCCTGAAAATTAGAGTGGCCCTCGGTATAATTTTGTGCAAAACGGTATTCGTATATTCCCATCGACAAGACAGTTCCAGCTGGTTGAGCAATTGAAGACAAAGTTATATTTAGTATTGGAATGGCAACAGAAAAGTGGCTTTTGTATGGTCCCAACTCAATTATACCTACTATTTTTTACAACTGCCCTACCAAACCCAAAATAGTAACCCTAGGAGTTTGACACATGGCTGGATGACGCTGAATGTCTGTGTTGTGCCGGTTTTCTTTCCTTTACAGTAGACAAAAGGAAACCAAAGAAAATAAGACGAGAGTTATAAAAAAGAAAAGTCCCAAGTCTTGGTAAACAACGGCTGGAAATGCAAGTGAATGTGCTTCTGTTTAAACAAAGGATGAATTAAAAGGAATGGAAAGGAAAATTGGAATAGGTTCAAAAATTGCTCCATAATAAGGTAACGTGCTGTCTGAAATTCTCATTAGGCTATACCCAAACTCATGAAGGTAATGCTGTGCTTTTAGAAAGCAGCCAAATTGCCATGAGAATCTGAGGGCAAATGGACTGCAGTGATAAACAAAGCCTCAGGTAAATGTGCAGACACACAAGCAAATATACATATGCACAACAGATACTCAAAGCTCATTTGTTAGAGTGGTTGGGGGGGTGAGAGTTTTGTGTCCGGCCACCTTCATGTCCACATTTCAAGTGCTTACACAGTGTACAAGGTACTCATTTAACGACCGAATAATTGGATATATGATTTCACCGATATGTTGCAAGAATCAAACCTGGAGCTGCTAGCCTAATAGTGCACCGAGAAAAACACATCAGCTGTCCCCAATTGTCTACACACCCATATACAGCCTTAAAGAAATATTCCCTGTTAAGTTATAGAACGTTGGGGAAAGTGGTTGTTAGCAAGGACAGCATGGCACATAAGGTGCTGGTATTATTTCCAATTTTAACCACACTGCACCACGACAAGTGTTAATACACCACTCACCACTGATCTTGTGCATAGCCACAATTTGAATCTTCCTAAATGTAATTGGAGTGCAATGCTCAAATACATCAGTGTTCTGAACACAAAGCACACAAACAGGCTAATATTCCACTGCGAGTCTCATAGTTTCATACATTATGTGCTGGACCCTGTGGTAAACCAAGCTAAAACAGGAAAAGCTGTTTCGCGCTGCTTGTCCTTAGGTTTCACCCACCTTATCCAGACCCCTACCCCCGCTGGGCTAGTATTAGATTCCAGGAGGGCGGACCTTCCCTGGGAATGGGTCTAGCCAAGGTTGCCGGAAGGGTGGAGATCAGGAAGCTACGTTTTAAAAACGTCGTCTAAAGCAATGGCTAATCCAGTGATAAGTAAGGCCCTGGCATGTAAATAAAATGTTTGTTGCAATGTTTGGTGTAATTTTTGTTCATAAACATGGTGTGTCAGGACAGCAAGTGGCATCACAACTGTTTCCAGGGCGAGGACAGTGCTATGGCTGTAGTATTGAAGAGGGCTCCATGAAGAGGGCTCTCGTACTTCCAGGGCTACTGGTGACTTGTTCCCGTGACTGGTGTTACAGTCACGGGAACAAGAACTCTTGTTATTGTTAAACAATTAAAGCCGGGCCGACGATGTTCTCGAAACAGACAAGTACGGTCTGCCGAGACAACCACATCAGCCTGAGCCGGTAGAGTGAGCTGTAACCAAGCCGTGTAGCAGCACAATTACACAAGGAGGCTGCTTAGTTCTCTTTGCCGAGGTGGCTGTCGGCTTTCGGCCGGACGCTCTCGGAAACAGTCGTGAAGTCACGGGGTCAACGTGGAAGAGACGTGGCTGAAATAACAAATTATGGCTTGGATTCCATAAGATAACCCAAGCATGGATTAAAACTTGTTTTAAAAAGTTACCATTACTTCCTGCCACTGAAGAGAAGGGAGAGGGAGACAGAGGGACCTGGCTCACACTGAAGCATGTATCGCGACAAAACATGAGCCGTGGTCTGTTTCAGAAATGGCCCTATTTTGTTCAAATTTGTTTACAACAGCTGAGCTGATCTACGTTGCAGTGATTTCTTTCAGTGTTCAATATATTAATAATTAACTGGAAATGCAAAAATAGGACAGAAAGATGATTGCCTGTGATGCACACTGGAGTAATTGTATCTGCGTACAACGCACAGTTACGTGCACAGGAGCATACATAGGTGCAAGGAAATTATCACGCATCCACATACAAATATGTGCTGTGACAGTTATGGAACACTCCAAAAATAGATTTTCAAATAAAAACCACTCTTGGCCATTTCAAACACAATACAAACAGAATAGTGGAATGATTTTTGGATAGCTGGTACGTATGCCATGGTGTTTTATATTCTTTACATTATTTTAACTTGTGTGCACACAATTTCAAAGCCTTATCTGATCAACGGTCACACGTGACATTGGAAGTGTTGAAAGGAAACAAATTTGTTCAATTTAAAATAGTTACGCTTCCCACAATTATATGTAAGTGCCACCATCGTCTGCACAAGTTGCCACTCGGTAGTTCGGCAAAACTGAGGTAGTGCTGCCGGCATACAAAATATCCTACAGCTCTGCGAGGTTCGTCTTCCTGTAAGCCAAGTCAACGATGTGCTCGCCACCTAGGAAAGTACAAGTTCACATGATATGAATGGATTAGGAAAGGGTCATCAATTACATTTCCCTATTGAACGATTGAGTACCTGTGACCTAATTTGACATTTGTAAATGAGACCTAGGACAGTTGTGAAAAAAAAAATGAGTAGCCACAAATTGTGGAATTTTGGAATTGGGCTACTAAAAATCACATGACCTTTAAATGACATTTGAAAAATGTACTTGAATGCATAATAGTTGAAGGCTTAAACCTTAAGCCTAAATCTTGTGAGGATATATCAAACAATAAATATTGCAGTAATGCAGCTTGCGTGTCTGAATCTAAAACTGTTTTACAGTTACAAAATAAATTGTAATTTGGTGGATTCAGTAAAGTAATTTTGTAAATAAGTAAAGTGATGGCTAGAATCATCTTAGTAATTTACAACACTTGTTAAATGCGAAACTTATTTTGCGAATACATGACGGTGGAATTTTTCACAACCTCAGGATTTATGTAAAGATTAAAAGGGATAGAAAACACGGCACATAGACCCATGCGCACACATACGTTAAATTACCGTTAAAGCAGCATTCAATGCATTTCAGTGCTGGAGTTGAACGTGCTCTGACGCTTTGCATCTAAGCTCTGCTGCATCACGTAAGGCATACACGAGGGAGTTATAATGAGAAGGGTTCAAGGAAAACTCACTATCACGCCTTACACAAACGGAGCATAAAACAACAAAAATGGAATAATCTTGGGCAGGGATGGTGCAGCATCTTGTGTAACAGTAAACAAGCCAACCACCCAATAGTTAACTCTCCTTTCCCACATTGCTCTTTATTTACTTACATACTAACGAGCCACACAAAAATACCTAGACTCCCATTCCCTCAGAACATTTAAAGGCTACGCGCAGCTGTGCCGGTGCCATTGCGTGGGCACCCTAAGTGCTTAGCTTAAGGGCACGACCCTCCCGTGTCACTGCTGCACGTGCTCCGAGTAAAGCAGCCCCTCTGCCGAGATGGCGTCGCCGAGGCCGACCGTCCTCACGGGGTGGGCGCACACCAGCACGGGGGTGTAGTAGAAGCTCACGCCCTCCCTCTTCCAGGCCGACACGGGGAGCGCGGGGTCAAAGGTCATCTCGTCACTCTTTCCGGCCAGCTGGTCGACGCGCGACGTCGCGAAACTGTGCGGTGCCCGCAGCATCAGCCGCTCGTCGACGCCGCGGCACGCCTGCGCCCCCGCGGCCCAGGCGCCGGCGGCCACGGCGGCCTCGCCGTTGAGCCACTCGCCGTCGAGCGTGGCGAGCACGTGGAAGGCCAGAGTGTGGAAGTGCACGCGGCTCAGCGACGACTCGGCGTCGGCGCCCGCGCCGCCGTAGTGTGTCAGCAGCCAGGAGATGATGTCGCATACGACGCCCACGTCCGGCGTGCCGTTCCACGCGTCCAAGTCTGGGAACGGGCCGCTGCCGGCTTGGTTGGCGAATAGCAGCTCTTGCTCGTTGAGGCCCAGTGACGTCACCACCGGCAGCACCTACAATGGAAGGCGAGGAGCATCTTGGAATTCGCATTCAGTCGAGGAGTCATTTACTCACGACTTCATTTATAAAGTATATTTTACATGAATAGTCTCAAAAGTTGCATCCCATCCATGCATATCTGTACAAGTCAGTAGATCAGCTATTCATCTTGTGATTGGTGAATTACAGTGATGCTAAGCTTCATCACGACCATGATCTGAAGGCAGTGAGAATTTCTGCGCTGTAATATCGATGAGGATAATGCGAAACCACACACTCGGCCTCACCATCTCTAGGACCATCTCCATGTATTCGCGGTCAGCCATGCTGGCCAGCTCTAGATGCACAGCTGTCTCGGCGGGTATCTCACTTAGCGACGTGACCACCTGCACACACACGCACGCACGCACCTATGTATCAACCCAGGCAAGCACACAGGATTCCCACGGGATGAACGATACCCAAGGGAATGGATGCAGGACACCTAAGCTCTGCAAATCACGAGTCAGTATAAAATTACTTTCAAAACTCCCCCTTGCTTTGAGGCAACGTTTTCCACCCCCTTGAGATCTGGCGGATTATTGCATGCTGATATTTCATTAATTTCTCGAATCATCTAATCACGATGCTAGGACAGATAACAAGTGAGTCTTTGTTGCGACCAGAGCAATGTTAACAATAACTCGCCCTAAGAAACCCAATGTGGATGTATTTTATATTTAAATTACCACGCTATGAAGCTTAGTACAATTTACGTGTGTTTGGGTGCTTTAGCATCTGCTTTGCACGCAAAAGACCTCATCCAGACGCTCGGTCCAAAAGTCCTTGCCCTGGCCCTCCATCATGTGAAAGCCTGACAGCACAACCAGGTCGGGCCGAAACTCCTCCAGATTTTCCACGAGCGTCTCCAGGAAGCGCATGCCTGCGTTGGCCTGGTCATGCGAGAAGATGAACCGGGACGCCAGCGGGGCCTCCACGTCAGCCCAACGCTCGCCTGCAAGAAATGACGGAAACCGTCCATCGTGGCCGCTGAACGTCAATACTTGAGCTTGCATGAAAATCTCTTTTAGCAATTAAATGTGATGACCACCATCCCAATAATTTGTTTACAGGGATGGCTGTGGCCAATACTCTAGATGAAATGATTGCATGAGGGAGCAATACTGTCAAAACCGAGAGAAGGAACGTGACTATTCTGACCCTGGGGCACTATTATGGGATTTGGGTGATGACAAAGAAAATTAATTCAGGGATAAAATTATAAAAAAGAAAGGCTCTATTATGGGTTTAAGAGTTCCCATTCAGCAAAACTATTATAATCAAACACATTGACATAAGCATGTTAAAATGCACATTGTATATTAGGGATGGAATCCTGCATTCATTAAATCAATTAATGTATTGAATTGCGTATGTCAGAATAAATGTTCTTCAATTTGTATGTATTGCAGTTAACGGGTTCATGTCATGAAAGCATACATTTTAAAGCGAGTGACGACCTTGAAAAAAGAAAATTAATCACATTGCTGAATATGGAGAAATCGACAATCCTTCATTATAGCGATGAATTGATAATCTCATTTCATACTTGTGTAGTGGATTCAACTGAGTCGCAGACGAACTTCTTGGAGGCAACACATTTATTAACACCAACACGTAACACAAAGGGGTTACTGCCTCTTCACCAGATAACCTCGGGTGGTGGACCACCAGGCTAACTACGCTAGTTACTGGGAGTAGCTACCACGGACAGGACCCTAGCTGGATTCCTCGTCCACGTGTTGGTGACTTCTTCTTGGATGTAGAACGTAGATCGTAATTTTTTAGATGACGGCAGCAACGCTGAACCCCGGTCCCTGTGGGGACCCGGTTTATAAGCTCCTGGGTCGTGGCTGGCCCCGCCCTTGGCCACGACCACCTTCGAGAAACCTCGGGTCGTCTCTCGACCCTTCCCGTAGGAACTACCGTGACATGTGACCACCCCAAAGCCCGCACCAGGGGGCCCTTGGTCACGTGCCTTCCAGGGTCAACCAGAGTGCCATGGGGTACGTCCGGCCCGCGGGCCGTATAAGGCCTGCGAAATCATTTAGTCTGGCCCTGCCAAGGCAACCGCACGACTCGAAATTCAATAAATCTAGGCGCTTTTTTCATAGCAACATAAATTTAATTTTGTATGGCCCGCGAATGATGTTATAAATATCCAAATGGCCCTTGGCAGAAAAAAGCTTCCCCACCCCTGGCCTAGGGTAACCTCATCCCAGGGCTGACACTCCTCCTGTAGGAGTCAGCACTGCACGCCATGCGTGGTGCCACTGAGCGCTATCCCAGCACTCACCGAGCCCCCTCTAGGGCTGGTACTACACCCACCTACGGGGTGTCCGCGATGACGATGCATCGCACGCCGTGCCTCGCTAGAGCCGGCATTACACCGTGACATACACGATGTCGCTACATACGTGATGCCCGCGATGCGAGTACATCGCATGCCGTGCCTCTCTAGGACCGGCACCACACAGTGACATCCGCGATGTCACTTCACTATCACCACCAGCAGCAATCTGTAATGTTGTGCCCTCCCGGGGTCAGACATTATCCCACAGTGGTGAGGTGCAATAGGAGGGCGGGTGTGTGTAAAGTGAGCCGTGGACGAGAGGAAAGGAACGAACGTGACCAGATGGTTCACGAGCACCAGACCTTAGCTAAGCTAGCGTCTGGCACAATTTAACATGCCTGGAAACACAGGGAAAGGCTCCTGAAATATAATTGTTTTTTTACCCTTTTATCTGGCAACAAAACTGACACCTTTTTTTACAAGGAGTCATGTTTGCATTGACCACAATACCTGCAGTTATAATGCAAACATAAAACATAACTCTGATAATGTGTGCACTGTCCTTGAAGTTGATTGGTCCACACCCGAGACAGCTTTCCTTAGAGCCTAGTCTCACATGGTGTTGGACCAGATGACGCCAAAAGGCGCACAACTCAAAAACAATGCACCATCAGAGTATGAGAGCTCGGGGTAAGTATGAAAGCTCGGGGTAAGCAGGAGGTTCCAATGGTGCTCCTGAAATAATTATTATAAAGTGTCCAGCAACAACATTGCTTGACTTTTTCTAAATGTACGATACATGCAGCATCTCTAATGTGACCACGCACCTGCTTTGTACTCAAGGATGAGGTGGTACTGATCCTGGTCTGTGAGCGACTCTGGTGGCACGAGCACCCTCTCGTCGAGCAGCTCATGCAGCTTTGGACCCACAGGACCACACAGCAACACCTGCACACCATTCGCATGCACAGGATAAGCGTGACCCTGATGAGCCCTTCAGAGGGTAGGGCTGTCACAGCCTTTAAGGCCTGAGAGCATGAGACTAACATCAAAATCAGGTACACTCTCCACCCAGAAAAAAAACTCAACCACACTTCCACCGAATACAAGAAACATAACGATAAATATAACATACCACCATTTCTTGTTAACTTCTATGAGAAGCCTCTTATTATGATGGCTACAAAAATGTTGCAAGAACACGGGAATTTTTTCTTGGTGCCAAGATGCACTTATCCCCTACAACTTAATTTTTTCCCCCAAAGCTCTAGCTTATTCAAAATTGCAACGTTGTCGATAAGGCTCAGGCGGTGCTAAACTTGTTACCCCAGCAGTGATTGGTCATATTTGGTCTAATGCCAAATAATTAAAGACGGAGAGACATAAAGATGTGCCACCATGACAGTCCTTGTTGTGTTACTGCTGTATCCATGGAAATGCTTATTCTGAGCTGGAAAATCTAAATACACATGCACAGGCTTGTGCAGCCTGCCCTGCTGCTACCCCCTCCGCAGTGTAGCTTCTCAAGCAACAACAACTGCTCCGCATGCCAGTCCTTGCTTTCTCTCATTTTCCATTGCGTTTTTTTGGTTAGTTTCCGTATTTTAATGTATCTGAATGCCTTATTGGTTTATTGTCTCTGATGGCCACTCCTGTGTTTAAATCACTGTTTCACTGGTCCCTCTGTTTGCCCTCCATTTCGTCCGTCTGCAGATGTAACTTTTCACTCTTTGTGTTAGAACAGTGTCTCTGTGTTTAACTGCTTCACTGTAACTGTTAAATATTTATGTTTATACAGGATGGCCCAAAAGTCAGGCAAACAAGGGTTAAGTGTTTTTTAAAACAAATTATATAGGGTTATTTAATTTATTTGAACAAATTTACAAAATGACTACCCATAACATGAATGTACGAATTTTCTTTTTAATTAATTTAGGACGTATTTTTAAAGATTATAGCTGCTTTCTTTAACATACATAAACACGAAATGAACTCGTTGGTCTTCAGTCAATTTTCTTTCCATTTTTAAATGTCATCTGAAAAGGAAGAAAATAGATAATGATAACAGATAAAATAGTAACTTAAAGAAAATGTATTATTAAAACGTTTTAATGCCGGTGTGAAAATAAATGAAAGAAGCCAACGTGTCCCGGACGTTTGGACCATTCAATAACTGTCACCGTCTTTGTTTGTTCTCAGACTGACGTGTTTCCTCCTTTGGGTTGCTAATCCCTCATCCCAGGGTCCAGTCAATATTAATTATATAACTTGCACTCCAGTAATGACATGACAAGTTCAAGATCACAGCAACTGCATACCTCGGAATTCCACGCAAAATACAGTTCCGCATTTTTCTCAGTACCGACGACACTTCAAACTCAGGTTGGATGGACCAAGAGACGCGATCGACGCATGTCGCCAGATAATGTTTTGTGCTTTTAGGCTTGTACTTTGGATCAGTATGGAATGTCTAGCTATCATTAGGCACTTGAGATACCATTGATATTCATTTTTATTTTACAAGAGAGATTTGGGCAACCTTAACAATTCAAAGACTTTTCACAACAATTTGATGCAGGTAATTTAAAATGTAGCATGCGGTCATCGCAAGTAGCACACAATAGCGTCCCCTCTTGTGAATGAGATCACTGGATCTTTTACATCTACTTAACAACAATACTGCTACGTAACAAAGTGGACCAAAACTGAAAGCACAACACCATAGAAAATATTAGTATTTTATAACAAACTTGATCTTACTTTGTTTACAACGAACAATAAACACTTCTATGCATTCATTAGCACCAGTGGCAGCTTAAATGTATGACCCCGAGTCCTCCCCAAGTGTATCTCTCAGGGAATCGAGAGTAGATAAAATCTTCTCCAAACAAGGCCTCTCTCCAAGCTGCCCCTTATGGCACAGCATGAGGCTATGTCCGTTCTGACTTCCTGGGAAGTCTGTGTGCCTGGTTGGCTGTGATCCCACTAGAAATACCGTAAGCCTGCTGCAATATCTAAAGCCCCAAGATGCTGCTGCGCTTTCTCATTGAGTTGCGCGGATTTTATATTGTTCCAAAAATTACGATTCCCCTGTTGAAGAACAAACGAGGAAAACATCCCACTGTCTTCTTGCTTTCAAAAGTGGGACAGACGATCCCTCCAGAGGTCGAGTTCAGGTTCCGTGTAAATATCTGGCCGAATCGCACTGTTGAGAAGCAAAGTTTTACTTGGAACAAATTAATGCAGAAAAATACAGGGTTCACTGCTCGTTTGGCAGTTTTAAGCAATTAGTGTCATGACTATAATAAAAAAAACACACCATGATTACACAACTCCCATTGAATTACCCATACTCTGGGGAAAACAAAAATATGCTGAAATCGGTAAAAATATAAATTATAGTATGATTACTTTACCCGACCTTACAATATATTTTGAAAATATGGTTTTACTATATACTCATTTTAATGGAAATGTTACGTTCTATACAGAAAGGGGGTAAAGTAAAGTGTTGATTTGTTGATTAATATTGATTCTTAAGCTCTAATACATGCATAAAATTGGGTGTTGCAAGTATGAATTAATTTTATTTTAATTGTTAATTGTATTAAATGGGTTCATGTGACTCCTCTAGCTATTATAGGCTACTATATTTACCACAACGTTAAGAAATAATTTGAAAATTGAACGGCAAACCTGAATTGAGACAATCTAATCGACAGAGGTGCGACTCCGTCCACCCCTCCTATGAAACACGTTTAGTGAACCTAACTAGTAGAACGTAAGAACCAACACAAGTACTAATTTAAGTGCAGTAAAGTCAACCGATGTTTTTATCATCAACATTCATGCCGAAACAGTTCTTCGCAGCCTTTGTTGAAAACATGACACCACGCACACCAGATTCACCCTAATAATCAGAGCTTCGCTCTGTTCCGAAGCTCTCCTCGGGGAGTTATCTGCCATTCATTTAGTCATTCTTCCTCAATCCTTCCCGCAGAGCATGTTTTTGTTTGCCGCAGGTGGTATCGCTCAGGGTTTTTCATCCTGATGTCACGTGTTGTACTTTTGCTGGCCAAAACACGCATAGACCACTGTTTAAAAAGCGTGGCTGCGCTTTTTGCCAAAACGCTTCAAATGGAATCTGATCATTTTCCAAGCCATGGGGCTCACTGCATTGGCAGCAGACTGCCCCGGCTTGTAAACTGGCAAATGGGGACAGGGCTTGGTTGATTTATTTAAAAGCTTGCTTCGTGCTCAACCCTCTCCTGACGCACACACAAAGTATATGCTTTAAGATTCACGAGCCACAGACTCAACCGAAACACTTCAATTTGCATTACGGAGACTTTTGACATGAGATGGCCCACCTTGAAGGCACATGGACATCATCTGTTGGAGTAGACCCATAGACCCATGTGCAATGATTGCCCAGGATGAAAAACTTCCACAAGTCAATTACAAATAAAGGAGATTTTATTGTATCGTGTGAGAGCCCATTGCGACAACAGGCGTTGACAATATATTGGAGAAAAGATGCTAATCACTCTGAAAATGGATAATCTGACTGATTTGCGTGGTACGTTGCACAACTCTTTGCAACGCAAGCTGTGAAGTACATACAGTCATACCTTGACAAATACTGTTTTATCGAACGCGTGTTTCAACTGTACACGGTTTAAAGTTATTGAGGTACGTTTTCTGAAACACGGGGGTTATCTGTCGGCTATACGCGGTTTGATCCTGCTAAGATTCTCATCTCCACGTCGACAAGTAGTGCGCGGGCCGCTTGTACAGCAGATGCTGCGAATGAATATCTTGTCGCCATTTTAACTCTACAACACTCTCATGCCGTCTCTCTTACTCATGGTCCCAAAACCTAAGTTGCGTGGCGGTGATTCTCGTAAGAGAAAGCAAAGAGTGATGACTTTTTTTGCAAAAAGTGCAATTGTTAAAATAGGCTTGTGAGAGGGCTGCATCTGTTGGACGGTATGGTGCAAATTAATTTCAACAAACATACAAGGTTCTATGGTGGGAATGAAATGACTGAGAATTATTTATTTACCATATATGTCTTTTTGGGGACGTTATTTTGTGCATAATGTAACACATACTCAACACGCTCACGCACAACGCAAATGTTCACACACATTGCCGCAATGTGGAGGGCATCAGTCATACGGGCGCCAAGATGGCGAATCATTAACGTTCAAATGACTGAGACGTACCCAGACAGACCACAATCATCACGCCAAACTTGGGCGTTGAATGGTTCATGACGATATAGATGAATGGGGAGTGAGGCTCGGAGAATCAACGTTGGGAGCGAGCACTGGGCGTGAGTGCACGGTATTGGAGAAGGGTGTTTTTTGTTGAGGTGAAATAAAAAAATAAAGAGTCTAAGCACACACATACAAGAAATCGAGAGCAACTCAGCATCCTTATTACAATAACAAGGAGGGAAATCGTGAGGAATTAATTAAACAAAGAGGGAGGGGGTGATCATTTCGAACCCAGGAATGCAACCCTATTTGTCCCGAAAAGTCTTTTCTACTCGTCGAACGCCGTTTTGTCGAACACAGTATTTTCCAGGAACGTATACCAGAGCGTTCGGCGAGGTGTTACTGTACTTCTGTAGTAAAAGTCAGCTAATTGTGAGCTGGGGCTAATTTTGGATAAACAACACTGAAGTGCACGGAGGTCAAATCAGAGTGCATTTTCTGCAGCCCTTTGTCAATACACTGGCAAATGAAGTACTCCCCATGCTTTGACACAGTCATGGGGGTTGTCTGCCCATACTTCAGCAAGCTGGACAGTGCAAATTAGTGAAATAGGAGAGAGGAGGGGCAAGAAAAGTTGCGATATCGTTCATCACTTTTGTTAGCCGTGGCCAGGAATCAAACACAGATCAGGAGATTCATAATGCGGTGCGCTATCCAGCACACCACGACCCATCTCCTGTGTGTATTAAGTTTGCATGCATCGATAAAAATTTTTTAAGTGCATGACACATGCATTGATTCACGCATATATTTTTAAAAGATATTTTAATTTTTTTACATGTGTATATATAATTTGTCCACGTAAACCCTGCCAGCCACTGGAGCTTCGAAATTCATTACAATCGTAAAAGAGATATTCTTCTTGAATCAAATTGCAGGCCTTATTTGTGAAAATGTATTAAATTGCCAGGGGAACAAACCATTGTATGCACAGTGTTGAGGGCATGGGGAGGTTGGAGTTATCACATGTTTACAGTCCGGCAACGGAGAAGAACTGGTGGAATTTGCTTTGTGAACTGTGAGCACACAACTGATCATATTTAGAGAGCAGGGCTATAAGAACTTCTAGATATTGCAATTCCAGGTCACGTACAATGCTTAAGAACTTGCATGATTTAACTTGGGCTTGTGTGTGGTTAACAGGATAAACATGTATTAAATTGCCAGGGGAACATTATTGTCACCTACTATGCTAATTGTTCTCAAAATAAAGCCATGGATACGGTGGACATAGTAGGGAATTTGTATAATCAAAATATATAATTTCCATGTGAGAGAGGCGAAATATTCAGATGATGGAAGCATGTTAACTAGGACAGTGAAGATACTTGGTATGAAAATAATACCCGAAAAAAGGTGAAACGTGAGGTCACAAGGACACGCGTCTTTAAATAACATCACTCGATCAGAACATTCAGGGTTTCAGAGGAAGTGGGGCAATGAAGACTTATATCTGTAAGTCTCAAATAGTGAGAGAAGTCTTCAATTCTATAGGCAAAGCCAAACACACCAACCCAGAAAAGGGATAAGACTCTAGTCGGACTGATACCGGAAACATTGTTAGGCCTCACTTTTCCAGGCAAAGGGCCACATCATACCACAAGTCAAAATTATTTTGGGAAAAAAAAGAGCAGAAAGATGACAGGAATGGGAACCTGCCCTCACTATGCAATCAAACACAGGTTCCAAATGCACGAGAGTGGGTTCCGGTGTTAAAGCTTTGTTCTTTTGAGTATGAGAATACAACTGCAACTAGTTCCAGATGGAAATAATTGAAGACACCACTTTTTCCCACCAATTACAACCCAAGTATGCTTATGGATAAACATATGACTGTGGTGGAAGGACACAAGAAGATTAAAATAAATGTTACAATTTGAATGGAATGCATATAACTGATTTAACACAGATAATTTAATGCATGTATCGATTTTAGTCAATGAACCGAGACCTCCTCCACTGATGCCTTTCTCCATTTCTTAAGAATGATGTTGTTGGGAGTGACCTTAATGACATCACTCCATACGAGAGGGGATGAAAACATCAACTGTCACCACATATGAAACACACCGCAGCACGATGCATCTTGACTGACTCGCATGGCACCCATTTGGGTGAAAGTATACAAAGTGAAACTAGGCTTTTGTTACTTACTCCGAGTGAGCTAATCTAACGTCTGCCCATCTTTCACTGCTCGCTAATGATGCGCGAAACACATTTCCCAGGTGTGCCATTCCACGCAACCATCTTGTGCTCACGTCGCCCGTACTGCCACTATCTCCCCTGTACTTCCTCTGGCACCTGTGCACCTGCAATGAGGCAGTATCGATCGGTACAGCTGATTAAATGAGCTCTCACTCACCGTTACTTGATCCGTGCGTGCCAGCTTTTGTCCGATGAGAGCCGCATTCCCTCCCACGTAATGCTGCGAACGGCACAAACACAGCCGCACTACGTCAGCAGCTATGTAGTGCAGTCACAAAAACAAAGATCCACCGTATAGCCTTAACAGACTGTTGGGGCAAGTCCTGTTAGTAAGCATCTATGAAGGCCGGCACTGTACACGAGGGGGTGGATGGCCAACATCATGCCCGACTACCTTTGTCTCCCAATTGGCGATGTTTAAACACCGCACCAGGTACAAATTTTGAGGTTGAGTCGACCTAGGGGAGGACCAGGACCGGTTCAAATAATCGTCACTGATGGTGGCCATGAGCGGGAAGCAAACTCAGGTTGCCGGGTTTGTCGAGCAGCGTGCTAACCACTGCACTACAGTCATAGCGCACACACACATACAATGTTATTGCATTCCAGCGAATTTCCTTTCAAGTACATATATTTTTGTAACAATGGTTTTGGTGTCGAGGCACAGGGAAAATTGGTAGCCACTTAGAGGACCCCTACAAACAAGCACAGCATCAACCCATGCCAAGCCACGTCCCAAGTGGAGATAACAAAAAATTGGGATTTCTTCACGTATGCATCTATTCAGATTTAGATTGAATTTAATTACAGCAGGAGGGGCCCAATGAGCTGTGAGGCTCCATTTCATGGGTGTCCTGCAACAGGACAGATGTTATACGGTATAGATGTTATACCGTACAGATGTTAGTTACACAAGCATGATTAAATAGGTCGCTGATACAAAAAATAAAGTATCGGAACGTGACTAAATTGTTTTACGAACAAAAATATAGGAACGGAATGCGTGTAATTTAACAAAGCAAACACATTCAGTCACGAGGAAACCCTGATTACGATACAGAGACGTGGGCTAACGCTCCTCTGCCCATTATTTATTGTAGCCGCATCTATGAAGGAACTTGAGTTTCAGGAGTGAACGAAGGTTTCTCATGGTTGGTCAATGATTCCATTCCAAAATCTAATGCGACAGCAGGAGATTTAGATTTTTTATATTTATTTACTATTTGCACCATCATTGTCTTGTCACGAGATGAAATTTCCTTTCAGAATTTTGCAGCTAGCAGTGCATCACCCTATGTCACAGAATGACCTCAGCAGATAATGTAACCTAACTACTTCTGAGGTAGCAGCATTAAGTAGCTGCATACAAAACACTCTCATTCAGTTATACAGATGAGCGTTTCATACAATGTTTATCAATACAGGCATTTTTTTCAACCAGACTGAGACTATCAAATTCTCCATGAGATCCTATTTCACCTTCAGTTGGTCATCTATCGGTCAATCATGAAGTCTCAGTGGTGCTGGCTCACTGCTGTTACAATGAGATGATTCCTCGAGGGACTAGCCTCCTATGCATTTCTTAAAGTTGCAGAGCAGCTTACTAACACATTCCTGCGGAGGGAGCTGGTAGGAACGTTGGGTTGCTCGGTCAATGGCCAGGGTCAACGGCGGCGTGGTGTATTCCGCAAATATGGCCGACTGTGAGGGTGGGCACAAGCCGGCGTGAGTAGGTTAAACGTTGAGTTTTATAAGGGCACCACAGGGTGACCAGCCCCTCCCCACCCAGCCCCTCCCTCCCCACCCAGCCCCTCCCTGCACGACGGACACAATAATCCCCTGTGGGCTGGTGTAGCCAGGAAGTTCCTACCAGTAATTGGATCATTGGCTAATCGGAAAATTTGTAGTGATATGATGAATAAATAAATATCTCTTAATAAGCTCACATTAAATGCATCAAATCACGTAACAATTGATTCTTGACTTAAAGCTTTCCGTGACTGCAGGAATTCATTTTCTTTGGGTCTTTCGGTAAAGTCACGTAGATAGGTTCAATAAGGACATTTTTGTTATTTTGTTATTTTCTTTGACCCTATCTAAGTGACTTCACCGAAAGACCCAAAGAATATAACAATTGATATTTATCAATTCAAATAGGTTGTATAGGACATATCCGTGTGGCATATATGAGCTCAAGGACCGATATTAAGCGATGAATCGATGCGTCGTTATACCTTTACCAACTACCGCAGCATTGAACAACCGACTGGTATTGAGGGTTGCAACAAATCACAACCCTGAATCGTAACAACTACAGTACTTTGCTTGACACTTTTTCATTGCCTTTCCTGCAGTGTTTTGCTTCACAGGTTTATTATATCACACGCTTCGGTTCGTGTATCTCAGTTGATTCCAAGTTGGTGCTAAACATTGACGACTGACTAACCATATTTTAAGCAACTGGCTACCCAGGTTCTATTGAGCCAATATGACTGGATGACAGATGCAATCGATAACGTTATAACTTGGAGAGTGAGCTGCAATGCAACATAAACACCTTGAGGCATAAACATCTTGAGGCATTGGGATGAATTGATGTCATTGGTCTATTAAAAAATTTCATTCCACAACCCGGAAACTAGTTTTTTCTTAAGATTACAGTTTTTTTTTTATTAAACCGTGATTTGTGCCAAGCGGTAGTGTCTTGTGAGGTTCCTCATGGTAACAGGGCCAGATTTTTTAACGGAGTAAAAACACTACTTTCATTAATTGGATTTGCATAGGTTCGCCTGTTAATCATCTCTTTCCTGCCGTCTTGGCAGCTCTCCCGACTGCTCTACTGCCGACATGTGTTCTGTATTAACCGCATTTAATGCACGATAGGCAGAAGATGGAGGAACACGCTTTTGGATGCATTCAAATCAGGACGGTTATACACTGACACCGAGGTCTTTAAAAAATCGAGTGAATTTACAAATCACTGTGGGGATTTATCGTATAATCAGTTGTAAACAAGGAAAGTATTTAATAACTGGTACAGGAATTTCTTTGTGGGATCAAAGCACCAGCATTAATATGAGGAAGACGTCAATTTCATTTTTTGGAATAACATTTTCATTACACATGTACATAGTATAATTGCATTTGTGTTTACTATTTATAGAAATGCTTGTGCATATTATGTGTACACACATGATTGCCTTCTGAAATCGAATCCCTATTCTGGTAATTGAGTCAGAGTCATTGAACGGTGGTAACTTCAGAGGCTCTGGTCTAAGGTCCAACTACGAATACACAGAGGAGTCTCTTCGATGTGAATGGCACCCACAACAGGCCAGTGGGACACTGAGTAATCATAGTATTACCAGTGGCATGAGTTTCCAGCAGCCAAAGGTACTCAAGCTTCCTATCAGTCAAGAGCCACTACTCCATGACCTGAGCTCAATCAACATTTTCCCTGCCAGCGCAAAGGCTGTCTGGATTAACGAGATTTGGGCAGTCCACTCTGGTATAAAGATTGCTGTAAAATGTGAAATTAGCTTAGGCACCAGTAATGGTTGGCAATGATTGATGAAATGAAGACAAAATAAATATAAATGACAACGACATTTAAAGAGGAAAGCCAGAATAAGGATAGAACACTGACATGTGTGAACCCTTTACTAAACAGATAGTGATTTAAATGGTATACAGATCTGTAGACATGGAATGCAACTTCAGATCATGAGTTAGTTGTTGCAGAAGAGTGAGACTGAAGCAAGGCAACGTTTAAGATTGCAAAAGTGTGAAGTGTTACAAATATGCATTGGGAAGATATTTTTAGTTCTTGCAACCATTAATGAAGATATCCAATCAGAACAATAACCACTTTGGAAAGGAAAAATCAAATGCGGTTGAGATCACGATGCGAGTTGCTAGGAACAACAGTGTTCAAACTGGATATGCACTTTAAATGAGCAATGCTTGGGATAACTAGTACAGAACAGCAGAAGAGGCATCAGGCTAAGTAAGATCAGTGTCATGAAATTAGCGAGAATCTTGGCTTAAAACAGGATTGCTAATGGGCAGGAGCGGATGGAGAAAAGTAAGACGCTGAAAGACATCAAAAATGTATTCTCTGTATTTAACTGGCTTATTGTGTAGATATTCTCTAACCTGTTAGGAATTTCAGTGGCACATGACATTACGAGGAGGAAGTCTCAAAGGCATGACAGAGCTGGTGAGGCAGCTTTGGAACAGAGGAACCACAATATTTTGCAGAATCAATGAGAGCCATCAGGCAGTAGGTGAAAAGTCATTTACAAAGGAAGAGATACTTAAAGCATGTCTAGAGAGGATCAAAAGACCAGTGAAACAACTAAGATATTAGTAAGTCAACCGGTATGTGTGGCATTCCTACCAACATTTCAAAGGAAGGTGCTGACAGTTGCAGGAAGAAAGGGATTATGTAATCAAAGCTACAAGAGGGAAGTTAGCACGGAATGACACAGTGAGAGAGGTACAAAAAGAGACATATGCAAGTTGAACTACTTTCGCACCGTACGTAGCTAACCGTGCTAATTGCAGGTGCGGGGGAAGGACAGCAGACGGAGGGAGACAAAGAGACATAGACACAGAGAAGTAAAAACAGACAAGAGGGAGGGAGTCAGACAAAAGGAGAAACAGTAAGAGAGAAAGAGACAAAGGGAGACAGAGACACACACACAGAGGATAGGGAGATACAGAGGGAAACAGAGACAACGACAGAGCGAGAGACTGGGGGAAGAGAGAGACACTTACCAAATTACTGAAAAGAAAAAAATACATGAAACTGGCTGAACACAAACAATTAGTACAAGCAACAGAGGTCAATGAAGAGCTGGGCCACTGACCTGCGCTGCCGGGTAAGCCGAAGCTGCCTGTGCAATCTGCTCAAAGGCCTTGCCGTCGCTGAAGAAACGCTCGGCGGCCGCTCCACGGCCCATGAAGTGCGTGAAGGCGTCGCGCAAGTCCGACGGCGACGCCAGGACATCGTGGTCCCGTCCACGTGCGGGAGAGAGGCCCAGCGTCTCCATGAGCGCCACGCCCGACAGAACCACGTCCACGCACACGTTCACGCTGGATGCACACCGCCACAAGAGGACATCGGGCGCGCACGGGGTGCGTGCAGAGGAAGATTTACCAAGCAGCGTAGTGACAATACATATGTATGTATGTTGTACTTCCTTCGCCACTGGACGTAGCCAATCGTGCTAATCGAAGGTACGGGGGAAGGACAACAAACTAAAGACAAAAAGCAGTTCTAAAGATGTGGGTTTTCAATCTAGATTTAAAGGTGCAAAGCTCCAGTGGCTTCCTAATATCGGAAGAAAGAGCGTTCCAGACGGCCGCAAAAAGTGCATCTAAAAGCGTGCAATGCAGTGTGGCAGGTAAATGAATTTACAAGGTTAACCATGCGATTGAGGTGGCTGAGTAGGTAAGGGTCAGATCACTGTGCTGACAATGCTGAGATAGAATGAGGGATCCAGGTCGCTTTTGAAAAAGAGGAAAGGTTTCACGTGTCCCAATTGATTAATTTGAGCTCCTGGTTAAATAAAGGAAATAGACCAATAAACTAGAGCTCAAAACAGGTTTGAAATGTAGAAAGTTGATTTTTTCAGCCGGCACCAATGACTGCACAAAAACCCCCACAATATTACATGTGTTTGTTTTTCCTTAATTTGATCGTTGGGGGCACAGAGCTGGTGATGGGAATTTCACAAGTCCATGGTAGGGGGCCAGTCTTACCATCAAATTATCATTCTCAAAGTTGTACAATACTGACCAACACAGTACTAATTGCATACCTATTGCTTCTTTTGTATATAGCAATTATGTCACCCTCAATAGCTGCATATGGAACACACCAAATTTCAGAACACGTGGCCAAACGTGACACAACCAAGTTTGTTCAACGCTAATCCAATAATTACCGTTACAAAACGTCAAGGAATCTGTAAAAAAAAATTTGCGTACCAAAACTACCCCACTGACCTAGTACTCATCAACTCACCTTCTAACAATAACTTTCCACTCACAGGACTATCCACTTCCTCTACATACCAACCCATGTACCGATATATAACACGTACCTGCCACTGCACAAGTTTGTTTAAAGTTGTACTTTTCATGGCAGCCAAGCCGCTCCATAGCAGAAGGGCTGCTGAATTCCCACAGTGACACGAGTGCTTGAACAAATGATGAAATTCGTGAATGCTTAATTTCTAACAGAAGTGCAAAGCCCTCTAACCTGAGATTCCAAATGTAATTGATGCCACATAGGAAGGTTACTGCACTATCACAATATTTATTCTATTTGTCTCATCAATGCTCCTTGTCCACTTAGAATGTATAATTTATTATGTAACACGATTTTTGTTCCTGGGTAGTAAGTGTTATTTTCTAAATGCTTATGCCTCTAAAAGTATAGAAAATGGCTATTATTCCCCCACAAACTTTGCTTTCGTGGCCAGGACTTTACGTGAAGGAATAACACAAATGCACACGTTTTCTCATTTTAAATAGGTACATTTCGAAATAGCATTGTCCTAGTCACAAAAGCAAAGTTTGTGGGGAATAATAGCCAGTTTATGTACGTTTGAGGCATAAACAATTAGGAAATAACACTTACTACCCAGGAACAAAAACATAAATTTGTTACACAGTGTAATTATTAATGGATTATTAACTTTGCCTTTGTGTCCTGGTCACAAAAGCAAAGTTTGTGGGGAATAATAATATCAATTTTCTGTACTTTTGAGGCATAAACAATTGGAAAATAACACATAGTACCTAGGAACAAACATTTTTTTTGTGACAGTGTTTATTATTACCACTATGCGCTTGGATGGCAGTTCAGCAAGATAATACGTCAAGAATATATTGAGTTATCATGACATTCGCAGGCACAACAATGACCTTTGTTCATCCCAAAACGCTTTCTAGAGCCTCAACTGTTTCGCATGAAGGTCCTGCATGGGGATGTTTGATCAGTTCCATTAATAAGTGCTGTGTACGTCGAAGGAAACCAGCATGAGTGGAGAACATCCGCGCGTACAAAGAGCTAACACTAAAGGCTCGACACAGATGGATTCAATCCACTTCATTTTCTTGGTTCTTTCGGTAAAGTCACGTAGAAGGGAAGTAATAAAATAATAAAAACAAAACATAATAAAATAATTCTCACGACGTTTCGGCCACAACGCAAGCAGCCGTCCTCAGGTGAAGAATGAGGACGGCTGCTTGCGTTGTGGCCGAAACGTCGTGAGAATTATTGTATTATGTTTTGTTTTTATTATTTTATTACTTCCCTTCTACGTGACTTTACCGAAAGAACCAAGAAGATGAATCCCTGCAGTCACGAAAGCTTTACATCGAAATTCAATCCACTTGTTAAACTACCATGTCCTAGCCACCTCACAGCACAGCATGTTTGCAAGTTTCACAGATCTGGCTGATCCACCAACACCTCGCTTCCAAAGCATCCGACATCACAGGAGTGCACCACCATACCTGGAAAACTGTACAGCCACATTGGTAAGTAAACATATGTATGTTAAACTTAGTTCGCACTGCACGTAGCCAACCGTGCTAATCGGAGGTACGGGGAAGGATAATTAAACACAAAAAGCACTGCTAAGAAAATGAAATTTTAATCGAAATTTAAAAGTGCTTAGCTCCAGTGGCTTCCTAATATTGGAAGAGTGTTCCAGACAGCAGCAGAAGTGTATCTGAAAGCACGCGATGCGATAACCAATATGCTTCTTGCACTGTGCGAAACAGCAAAAAAAACGTAGAATTAATTTAAATGGAAGAAAGAGGCCAACAAAGTGCACGAGACTTCAGACATTTCACGACATTGAACGCGAACCCATTAGCCAGCAATCAATCACCTTAATAATGTATAGGCCACACCTGACACTGGCATGTAATAAAATATAACTTGAATGATCAAGTTAAAAAAGAGGTATCCAAATGTGTGTTAATCCCCAGGGCAGTGGGACAATAAATGACTCACTCGTGTGTAAATCAGATTGACGAAAGTTGATGGGGAAAGGAGTGGTTCTGTGGCTCGTTGACTGAGCGATGAATAAATAAAGCGACCGAGTTAAATTGCATGGCCGTGGTTAACATTGGTGGTGAGTGGTATACGAACTGGTTCTGGGCTTCCCCTACTTCACCAGCCGACAATAATCAGCATGGTGAAGTATGGTATGGCAACTTCGTGACTGATACGAGGTGGGGGGGGTGGCTTTCTTTCAGGATTGAATTGACAAAGTACTGACGATTGCTTACTATGTAACATAGCATACATTACATGCAGTTCTTCCAAAGCAAATGAAAATAATTGTGATGTGATGCATTGTCAACTATATGGAATATCTTTATTCAGATAGCTTCCTTCGGTTGCACGGTTACAAGCTCTTTCCATTATGTGGTTAAAATGCACGACTCAAAAGCGATCGCACGACATCACTGCGAAAGAATGCACCGCATGGAAAGTTTCAGATAGAGTGAATGGCAAAGCATTCATTTTTACAGATGTTAGCATTTAACATGTTGCTTCACGTTCCTACGCATGAAATGTCCTATGGGCTACTTCGCAAAGCTAGACTGACTTATAAACTCACCAAATGTCAAACCGATAATTGTATAATCATAACTATCAGTTGCACTGCTGGGGATCCCTATTTGCTCAGCTTGATTGAAGGCAGCAGAGAAATCTTCATGATTTCTGCAGCCTCGAGCCCGCTCATATTTGTTGTATGAATGTTTGATGAATTGACCATGATTACACAAAGACCCTCAGCCTGAGGTGGCCAGGTTGCCTACAGGTTAGAGTACTGATCTTGCATTGCTGAGAGATCCTGGGATGAAATCTGGACAGACAACACTGTTTAAACTTGGTTCTTAAATAGTCTTAGCCTGGACACCATGACTGCACAAAAGAAACACATACAAATCAATGTGTTTTTTAAAATTTAATTTGGCTTATTCCAGCTCCAAGACTTTGGTTTGATTGACAAGTGATGAACGACATTTTAAGGACATGACATGGTGTGCATCTACCGTGGATAGGGGTCTATTGAAGTAATACCATTTTTTTTTTACCAAGTAAGGCCCATTGAGCTATATAGCTGTTTTTTTCAGAAGTGATCTCGCCACAAATGATAGTGCTACGAAGTGGCTTATGATGTCGAAATTTACTGCAGCCAAATGCTCTAAATGCATAGTTCTGGAACGTAATTTTCTGGAGTAATTTTCTGATACAGGCTTGTGCACACACTACTAGCTATACGGTCACAAATGGAAAGTCACTTGTTTCATGAGATGAAAATAAACACAAAATATTTTTTTAAAGACTTGTAATGCTACAAAACCAATAACAGATACAACTAAAGATTGTTGTCAGCACGTGTATAAAAATGAGTCAACCCAAGTTATACTGGAGAAAAGTTGGGAGTTTCAAACTTGAGCTGTGTGAGATATGAGGAGATATGGTCTGTACGACAGTGGAGCCAATGGATGCAGTACACATTTCGACCATACCAACAAGACAGGATAAGGTCACTAAATGGGCTAAGAATATTAAAGCATCTTGCATCACAACTTATCTCAATAATGCCAATGTCCTGCTGCCATCTAGCCAAAGGGACTTCCGGAGGCAGCCGTCCCTGTGTGGCACAAGGGGTATGGAGTAATGGCTTATATAAATGTGTATTGGTAAGTTTGGGGTGAATTTCATTCACCGTTAATTCCGATCGCTTTGAATATAGACGGGAGCAAGAGATGGATGTGGTGTATTATAAACCAAAATGAAAATTCTCCACAATACTTGAATAAAACAGCACCTTTTTTTCATACGTTGGGGAAATGCTATTGAGAATCTATTAAGGTCAGAATGAAACAAGACTGTTGTTGGGGAGCATTAACACCTGGCCATCGATGTATGCTCAGTGCTGAACATTTAAAAATGTTTTAGTCAGTTGGTTGGCTGCAGGCCCTGAGTAATTGCATCAGCCAAATTGGCATGTGCATTTAAACTACCACAAGGGAACCGGATGTAGAAACTATCTGAA